ACTTTAATTGGTGTATGTACCTACGAAGTAGGTGATCTCACGTCCTGAAATCTGCCGTTGAATGGTATGATTTCCTTCGGTAGGAGTCCCCGTCTTATATAGTGCAGATGTCCCAACGTGAGTCACGTCGCCATCAGCCCCGAGAGACGAGCTAATGGTATAGACAGTTCCGAAGACGACGAGATCGACTTCAATGCGTACCTCGACTTCGCCACATACTACAGCGTTAACTCAGAAAGGGACCAGAGCCGTGCCACGGACGCTCTTGACAACGTGGCAGAGAAGCAGCCGAATAATGCAAAGGAAACTGAAAAGAAATAGTAGCTTGTCATATGGATATGGTAGTGACCCCTTTCTCCTGTTGAATACCCAAATGCTATATTCCACCAGAGAACCTGTCCCAGGACTGGGATATGCATAAAAGGCTCAGGTAGCTCAGACAGCAGGTGAGATAGGGCAAATCAGAATATCAGTCCCAGTGATGGTGAAAATTTCTTGATACCCTCTCTACACCCCCAGTTGCTTCTTAGCAATGATTTGATATATCTACGAGTATCCGTTATATATAAGGCGAACTGTCTCCTATATTCAGGGGCTGCTGACTCAGCACGTATACAAGATCACACGAGATGAAACTTCTTTTTTCTTTAGCTGTTTGTACGAGCAAAATTGATTTGGCGTGAGCTAGCTGGCAGGCTGGTCGAAAAATGTATGAAGGAGAACAGACTTGCCATTGAAGCCACATGGCGCCGTCGTCATGGTACTGACTATTACGTTGTATTGAGAAAGGTGATGGTTTTATCTTAGAGGTGGAATATATCCTTCAGAAAATGCACATATGCATCTGGGTCTTGACTATGACAACCTTGTTTATTGCAAGTTATCGAGGTGGCCAGATGATGGCGGGCTATGTTGTCTTGATAAATGCAATGACAAGGAAGTTTTGCAATGAACTAACTTTTATCAAATGCTGGCACGAGTTGATCCTCAGGTTTAATTTCATCCGAAACATATCTGGGTAAGTTGAAGTGACAAATGTAGGCCTTTCAATGTCACATCCTTAGTCGTATAAAGTCGTTGCTCCTGGGAAGATGGTTTTTACCCCTTTTTTATAGGTGATCGCTACGTAAGGATCCGGTAACATTTCTTTGCTAGGTTAGGTTACAAACGTACAATTGTTGAACCTGGCTCGCTTAGAATGGCCGAAGACGTGACGGTGAGGGCAGCGGCTGGGAATGTGGAAAACGAAGGGGAAAAAACGAATTATCTTGTCACATGAATATCTCTACTTATCTGTTCGCGCATCCATCCAAAATGCCAGATGCACCAAGTCACTGACAGCCTGCACGTAACGCCATATTGCATATTATCTATAGGTTACCTAAGCCAGAGAGCTTGCTAGGACTACTAGTAGCTGCCGGGGTGGCATAGCTACCCTTTTCGCTTAATTAGGCGAACCAATGGTCGTGACTGCTGCGTAGATAGCATAGCTACACAAAACGTCATGCGCAGGCGGCCGGTGATCGACAGCCGATTCTTATTTTTAGGTGGCGCCGATAGGCAGTAATACAGTAAAAAGAGATGGAGAATGGAGAATGGAGATGTCTCGCCGGGAACATCTCGCTCTCAGCAACGGACGTCCATTCATGACACCCACTAATCGGCCGTCTCCAAAGGCAAAATGCAACCGAACCTAGCAGTCGGTAGTGGAGTGGCCAGCGTACTTGTCGCGTCATTGCAATTTATTTCCATTAATTTCCTCCCGCCATGTCGCATTGTGTGAATCACGTCTTGTGCGATGCCCGTTTCGGCATATTGCCTCACAGCCAAACTGCCCAGACTGCCAGACTGACTGCCAGACTGCCAGACCGCAAGCTGACGTCCAGACATCCCTGATCGAATCACTGCGTCGCGCCGAGCTGCAGTTCGGACCTGCAGCTAGCCCTCCCCCATAGCACTTGCATGTACAAGGTAGAGTCAGATAGCTACCTGCCGGCGGCGCTATAGGTGGTCAGTTAAGCAGCCCACACACAACACTCTCCAATGCTGCACTCGACCTCTCTCCGGGTCTCACCTAAACGTACAGCATAGTACGATACAGCACAATACGGGTGGGATGCTCACAAGTCGACCCGAACATTACTATGACACCTATTATCAGCATACACGCATACACGCATACAAGCATACACGAAGGGCATAATAGTACCGGTCGCGGGATCGTGCGTGGTAGGACTTGATCGTCCCGGTAAGCTACATACATACATGTAGTAAACCAGCAACAAGCAGCCGGTTACGGTATTTGGAAGCTCGCACAGGCATTGGGTCACACGACATGGTCGACACCATCCTCGGCTGACCGTCCCCAGCGAACCAGACACGGCTAGCCGTTGATCGCCCTAATCCTATATCGTTACATACTTGTACGTACAAGTACATCTTGTTAAGTGCATACATAAATTCGATTTGACTACGACTCGACTCGACTCGACTCGACCTGTTGTCCCGGCGGCCTACGCACGGCCAAGCACCTCCCCGTCCGTCTGAATCAACGACGTGTTTTCCTTTTCTCTTTCTCTTCCTTCGGGATGCAAGTCTCAGAAGCAAACCCGTCAGCTACGGCTGATCCTCCGTCGATCGAGCTTCAGACTGCAATCGCACACGACCCTGGTCCTGACCGTCCACCTCAGCCGTCGGAAGCTGACAACCCACAAGACGAGCCGGCGCCTTGCGCTTCGGACGTCCAAGCTGCAGGTAAGTCGTCTCGGGCATTTTTTTTTTTCTTTTTCTCGTTCCTTGCCTACATTCAAGATCTGATTATCGCAATGTCTGAGACGAAAACAAAGCTGTCTGCTGCAGGTCGTTCTGTTACATGTCTGCGTGGACATGGCATACTGCATACGACTACATGTGCAGCACAGTCACCGTTCATTTCACATGTCTATCGCCCCTTCAAATCGTGTAACTCGATTGATTTCCCTCCATTTGCCTTCCCTTCTCATCTCCGCGGCCAAGCCCTCCAAGGTCTTGGACGCAGCGCACTGTCGCCACCAAGCCTTGGAGTATTTGATATTTGCCTAGTCACTGATGCGATTCCTTAGCGACTGCGCCTACGCCAGCGCCAGCATTACATGGCACCACCAGTCACGTTGATGCCCCGCACCCCACACCAGCGGAAGAGCAAGCCCATGAGACTATAACAGCTGCTGCCGGCCAAACCAGAAGGCTCTCTCTGACTTCCCCCAAGATGCTGTTCTCGGATCTCTACAAGTCCAAAAAGTCACCTCTGCTGAGGTGGCGCCAACACCACTCGAGCTCTGCTCAGGCTGCTACCGACTATGACCCGGATCTCTTGAGCAGAGACAAGGCCAAGCAGAAAGAAGCCATCAAGCGTTTCTTGGCAGACAAAGTAAGGAACGACTGGCATTTCAAATGGCCGTCTCCGCAAGCAAAGTCGGATGCGGGAGGTGCTGGCGCAAAAGCTCCAGGCAAGACTCGGAAGGACGACGAGCTCGTCGCAGAAGGATCTGGCTCAGAAGGTGACGCTGCATCAGTATACAGCACCGTGTCCGAGGACCTCGATCACTTTCGCGCTCGCGCTGAGTGGCTGTCAGACATGCCGGACGACTCTGAAGCTGATGATCCCCCGGACTCGCCATCGGCCTACCGCTTCGACACTCCCGACGCGGTTGGCACCTTGGTGAAGTCGGTGGTGCTCGCCAAGAGTGCAAAACGGAGGAGAGCGGTGCGTGACGAGATGGAGTGGAATGATGGCTTGGCTTGCTTCAACGCCCGACGCGATGCCTGGACAGGTGCGAAGGCTGCCCGCGTTCGACCTAAACCAGTTTCTTCGACGACCACTTCTCCTACATCAAAACGTCTCTCCTTCTGGGGCCATCTCTCGTCTGCGCAGGCGCCCTTGTCACCTACTGACTCGGCGGGCGTGACATCACCTCTCAGTCCTAGTGGTACGCGTACGTCTGGTGACACGACTGTCGTGGCATCCTCAGATGCTGGTTTCAAAGAAACTAAACCGAAGGAAGATGCGTCAAGTTTCCCAATCGAGACTCTTATCCCCGTCCCGCAGCCTCTTCTGCCACCTGCGACTCCTATGCGAGCTTCCATTACTCCAGGCACGTACCTAACCATATACGATAAGATCGTCTTGCAAACTGCAACACCGTCGTGCCCTATCAACCTGAACGACGTGGTGCGTTCTTGCGTCTCTGGCTGGAAGAGAGACGGCGAATGGCCTCCTCGAGCTGCCGAACCTCCTCCCGTCGTGGCCGTACGTAGGAAGAAGAAGGAAGGGGTCGACAGCAGGACTCATGCTACCAGGAGAATGAGCTTCAACTTTCTAGGACGACGACTTAGTGGGGGCGGCGATCCTAGCACCCTGGCAGCAAGCACGTCGCATCCGGAAAAGGAAGACTCGGCGCATGGAGGCAAGGCTATCAAGAAGAGTCTGCAACGCGTTCTAGGCCTTGGCCAGGAGAAGACGACAGGCAGCACTGGCAACTAAGAGAACTTTGCCACACATAACGGATACGAAGCTAGTAGATGGTCTACTATGCTCGCGGGACCTCGACATGAAGGACGAAAGGCGAGGGGCCGGAATGGCGTCAGGTCAAACGTACTGGAACTAACCCGTAGGAGGAAGCGGGCTTTGCTTATTGCTGCGTCATATACCCATCATTGCTACCGGCGTTTTTCTACACTGTTTTAACGTTCGTCATTGCGACATTCGAAGGTTGAGGCGGATGACTGTCATAATGATATATCCCCTAATGAGATCAAGCAAATTGTGCTCATTCTCGGAGCGCACTTGTTCCAAGATATTCTCGAGCTTTTCCAGCGAGGCATGGCAATAGAAGTGCATAAATGATAACACTGCTCAGTTGCTAGGGGCAGCCCTGACCGGCGTCTGCGCAGAACACGTGCGTCGACTCTGTGGTTGCTTGTTTATATGCCTAGATATCTTTTATGGTCACCGGGAGTAAGGCGCAGTGGCAGAGGGGTAATGCTCGAGGTCAGGGGGCCCGTACTGATCTCTGTCCTTCGGGAGTCGTCTGTTCGAATCAGACCTGGGCCGAGCTCTCTTTTTTTTTTTTTTCTCCCTTTTTTCCCTCCCAGTGAGTATCTCTGCCTACCTCCTAGGTACCTACCTACCTAGACAGGCTACGGCAACGTGACATTTCTAAGGGGAGCCTGAGCTTTAGAGGTAAAAAATCGGTCAAAGTCGAATTTCAAGGTACTGAAAAGCGTTCTCATCTCTCATTATTAACGTTGACCGTGCGATATACCGTGCCATGCTGCCCTGCATGCTTTTCTCCCCCTTTCCCCTTCCGTTTTAATCCTACAAGCCTGAAAAAGAGAAAAATATACAAATTACCATAAACGCCAATGAACACCCCGACCTCCGTTTTGTAGAGTAGACCTCATCCCTAAAAGGGGGGGGGAGAAACATATTCAGAACGACGACCCCCCGAACTATGCATGTATGCATGTTCGCCAGCTACTTGAGAAGCTCCAAGCTCGTACCGCAAAGACAGTAAGTAGTACACGTGTGCGCGCACCCGGCGGAGAACCAACTATAGCAAGCCAGTCCCTTTTTGAGTCCTGCCTTTCCATCCCATCTTCCTCCTTCTAGGACCGAACGTGATGTGATGTATTGGAATGGCTACCAGATCAGCCAAAGCTATCCTCGCAGCCCTACAACGAGCTAGCCTGACTCTTATCATCGTCATCGTCCGCGTCCGCGTCCCCGACGACGCCGCTCCTGACGAGCGCGTCCCAAACCTTGTCCCTGGGCTTGGCGGCGGAGCCGTCGCGAGCCCTGCACACAGGCAGGCCGTCGAGGGTCCTGAGCCGGCGGCAGCGGTCCAGCACCACCATGTCGTAGACGCGGCGGCGCATGCGCGTGCCCAGGTCCGAGCGGCCCGCGAACTGCGCGTCGCGGGCCGCGTCTGCGTCCGGCAGCACGAACGGGTCGAAGCCGCGGTCCTCTCGGTCCCGGTCCTGCTCCGTCGGCACGAGCGCCTGGATAGGCGCATAGAAGCCCTGCGTCGCCGGGTTGTCGCGCGCGTCGAGCCGCGACAGGTGCGGAAACCCCGCGAGCACGTCGGCCACCTGCGCCGCGTTGGCGAGACGGTTGCCGGCCACGAGCAGCTTCTTGAGGCGTGGGATGTACCGGAGAGGCGACACGTCGTCGATTGCGTTCATGTTGAGATTGAGGACGCGCAGGTTCGGCATCAGCTGCCCGATGTCGGCCGGCAGTGACTCGAGGCCGCAGTTGGCCAGCTCGAGATACTGCAGGTTGAGGAAGTCGACTGACGGGTCGAAGGAGGTGAGCAGGTTGCCTGAGAGGAAGAGCTTTCGCACCTCGTACGCGGCGTTCAGGAACGATGCATCCAGCGGCGCGTCGACCTGCTGCTCGCGGAGCGAGAGGCTGTCAAGGCGGTGGCATCGCGAAAAGCCGGTCACGGTGGTCAGCAGATTCCGGTCCGCGTGCAGGAGACGCAGCGAAGGGAACGGAGTTAAGTCAAGGTCCATGAGGTCGTTGTTTGAGAGTGTCAAGTATTTGAGATTAGGCACCGCAATGTCCATAGTTGGCTCGAAGGACTGTAGAGAATTATGTTGCAAGTTCAGAGTAACAAGACACGTTAACTGTTCGATGCCGCGAATTGAGCTGATATCATTCATCTGCAGATCCAGCTCGGTTAGACGCTGCAGCTTCGTGCCGTCCAAGTCGACGTCTGTGAGAAGATTCCGCCTCGCGCGGAGAACCTGCAGACTGTCATGCATCTTGATGCCGTCTAGGCTGGTAATCTGGTTGTTGTCGGCGCGAAGGCTACGTAGGTGGACTAGGTCCTTGAACGCGTGCAGACTCCTGATCTGATTGTTGGATACGTCGACGTATTGGAGATTCATCAAGTGGCCCCATGCCGTCAGCTCGGAGAGATGGTTGTGTGTGATACGCAAGTTCCGGACGCTACCAGGAACCCCGTCCAGGTGCTCTATCGAGTTATTCGACGCATTGAGAGTAACAACGCCCGTGCAGAACTCGTCTAGCATATGAAGTGTCGTCAACTGCTTGTCGTTGATGTCTAACTCGTTCATAGACTCCCAGTCAGGCTCGAACGGCTCAACCTCGGTGATCTTCTCGACGAGGTTCTGGATGGCCTTGGACATGATCTTCTTGGACCCATCTCCGGTAGCAAGATAGCGGTCCCCGACCACATAGCTAACCTCTAAGCCGCATGACTGGTCTGCATTGTGCATCGTGAAATCCGACAGAGGGCTCAGCGACAGGCACCCAACGTACTGTCCGATGATTGGCGTTGCCGAAAGCGTTAAGGTCTTCGCAGGACCTGGCGTAGTTACCACAACACTCAAACTTGTGTTCTGGTTGTGCTCATTTTCGGGGTAAACAAGACTCGACTCTCCGCGGATACTAACCTGGCGCTCTTCGGATGCTGCGTGCGCTCCCACCTCAGCCGAATCTTCATCCTGCTCGTCGATGCGGGACACTGGTCTTGGGACGAAGTCGTGCCCCTTAACTGACAAATTCCGTGCCGAACGACTGCGGGATCTGGATCTCGCAGCTGAGGTACTAACAGATCTCGGTGATTTAGATAGACGCCCACGTCGCAGCGAATCCGTCGCCACGTGTTCGACCTGTTCCTTGGTGGGGCTCGGCTCTCGGCCGTCGTCGGAATGGGATTGGTGACCAACATCTTGAATGACAGAAGCAATCGGCGAGGAAAATGATATAGTGAGATTTCTCTTCCGCGATGGACTCGACTTTTGCATTCGGTCCTCGTGAATTGATATCTCGTGCTCAATCTCTTTATCGTCCTCGACTGTCGTCTCTCTTAGCACCGTTCGTTTAGTTTCCGTGACCGTCTCCTTCGTGTAGTTCGTCGTCAGTCCGGTATTGGGCGACTCTTGCGATCCAGTAGGCGACATCGCAGTAGAAGGACTTTGTGATGTTCCTTCTAGTAGAGATTGCTCACTGCCGTCCGCATTTTGTCCCGCAGCACCATCGAGATTCTGTGCTTCCCTGTCTATATCGACCGAAAGATCTGGTATGCTAGCAAACGGGTCCTCGCTGTCTTCGGACGGTAGAATATTCCTGCTCTCCGGCTTAGGTGTTTTCACTTTATGCCATACGTTGTTCGCTTTATCAAACACCATGTTGCCCACTTGGTTACCAATGAGAGGCGTGACCACATCCGGTACAATAAGCCTTCTCGAATCCGATCCTTGAGAAGAGCCCGTCGGGATGGAACGCGTGGTGAAGGGACCCGATCCCTGCGACCCGTTGGAAGGAAACTCGTCCGCGTTCTCGCTGAACTGGGATTGGTCCGGGTTGCGCGAGATTCTGACGTTAGGAAGGTCGCTAACCACTTCTTGATCATTGGGAGGACTATCCCATCCCTTACCCGAGTGGACGCTTTGGCGGATGGACTCGCTGAGACTATTAGCCTCGTTGATAGCTTCCCTGATTCGTCCCATCGACTGCATCGAGTTCGTGATGATTTCACCCAGATCACTACCTTCTTCATATTTCTTTAGTTGATCCACAAGCTCCGGATCTTCCTGGCGGGTTGGCGCCCTTGTGAGGGCGGGTCCCTCCCGGCTTGGGGGTCTTGAGAATGGCTCCTTTGTCGACTCCTGGAACGAACTCTCTGGTATGCCATGTGCGGCCGAATAGCGCTGCTCCGCACTCTCGGCATCTGACTCCTCTACGCTGCTCAAGCCATTCTTAGGGCGAGCTTTGTTTCGAATCATTGCCATAATTTCTTCCGCGGCATCGAAAAAGTCCTGGGTTTTCATGGATGTTCTTCCCGATCCATCGTAGGCGAAATCCTGCATAGGCATGTCCGATACACCATTCCGACGATCTGGGCCTATGTGAAGACTTCCGAGGGGTTGCCGCTCAGGTGCTGATTTACGACCAGGAGTTGGTGATCGGGGCCTGGGGGCTTCGCGTGCCGATAGAACGCTTGGACTGTCTGGTTGCTCAGAGTCACTCAGACTGACACTGGGTCGTCTCCTTCCAATAACTGACTGCATTGTTCGATGTGAGGATTGTACAGACTCTACCGCCATGGGGTGCTCCTCTAGCCCGTAGGCGATATCTGATCGGTGTAGCGTCCTCCTTCTTTTCGGCGTGGGATCTTTGGATGGCGATGGCCGTGGTCTCTTGCCATCCGAACCGTCCCTCTTCGGGGTTGCCTGTAACCCGTAATTAGGTCCATCCGGATGTGAAGAGCTCTGCGGTCTTGAGCTATTGGACGCTCTTGATCGAGCTACGCTGCGCCGGGGAGAAAAGGTATAGCTTGGCGGCCTATTGCGTCGGCGCTGTATGTTAAGAGGTGTCTCTTCCGAAGACGAATCCTGATGGATCTGAAACTTGACAAAGTGACTCGGTGGTAGGGATGCCTCCGTAGGCGTCATATTCTCCTTGTTCGTCAATTGCGAACGATCAATGGAACTCTGGGTGAGGTCTTCACTAAATTCGTACCCATCAAGCTCTCCGGCTCCGAAAGTACCGATAGCATCACGAGCTTCGGGACGGTTAGGACCATTTTGCGACAATTTTCTCGGACTAGATTCGACAATGAAGCCCTTGTTCACTTCAGATTTAGAAGGCGACCCTTGTGTTGGTAAAGCAAGGGTATCGTCTACCATTGAGCGCTGAGGGCTGTCGCTCATGGGATCTTCAAACTGACTGATGCGCCGCAGAAGAGTTTGGTTGGTGAATGTATCATACGGGCCGAACAGTTTCAAAGGGCTTCCGCTCTGGCCGGACGGAGGCTGCGATCGCTTCTCGGGACTCGGGTACGGCGCAGGGGGGATAACAGGACTAAGCGAGGATTGTGGGTAAACGTTCCTGTTGGATGCGACGCGATCTATTCTGATAGTTGGAAACTGCTTGGGCGTGCTGGCTTGGAGCGATGATTCCGGAAGCATCTCTGACGTGTCAACGTTTAATGGCGGACTGAGGGGACGCCGGCGAAAAGATCCTTCTGCTGAACGCCCGCCTCGTTTGAATTCGATGAAGCCGCCATGCATCGCGAAATCATC